ATCCTCACAGTAGTGGATGTTCATATTAAATATTGAGGTCAGTTTATATGCAAATTATTATGGTCATCGTCATATAAGGAAAACAGCTGTGAGCACACAAATTCCACCCATCTGCTCCTCGTGGTTTGTTTGCAAGAGACAGCCAATCAGAAGAAAGCTGGAGTGGACTTGAAGGGGGAGTGGCTAAAACTGCTGGTTTTGGGCCTGAAGAGAACTCAGGAGCTGCTCCAAGGCTCCGTATGAGAAATTATGAAGAGCTCCTTGAGAGCGCGAGAATAAAAACAAGCTGGAAATGAGCATAACAGCTCATCTTAAAACTGGCTAACTGTACCGTTTGTTGTTCTGTTGATGCCACCAAGATGGAAATGAGCAACCAGGGCGAATTCGTAAATCTGGAGGTGGATGGCACTGGCGGGCTGGTGGTGGGCATACATTCCAAGCAGATGGAGGAGGTCATTTACAGTAAACTTCGACTGTCCCTTGGCGGGTTGCTGATTAGCAAGGAAAAGATGATTGTTCAGGTACTGTGTGTATTTTGCACCATTTGTTTTAAACTGCACTTCAGATGCAAATAGACCAGATGCTGTTTTCCTTTCCTTGCACAAGACCTCTGGAAAATAGCTTCTTGAACATGTTTGAACCGTCCCTCCTCTTCCTTTAGTTCAATCCCAAAATGGATGGCTGTGTGCGGAAAGGCAACTGGCTGAACCTCACCATCCCATGGGTGGCAGAGCCAGACGAGCTACAGCCTTGCTATGAAAACATCCAACCTGGCAGCTACTTCCCTGGCACAGGATTTGCCATTTTCAACACCTCAGGTGGGAACACTCTGCTAAATTATCCCAGATACGAGCAAGTGTTTACACTCCTTTATTCAATAACAAGCTTTCCAGCTGGCCCGGATATTGCATTTATGCATGATATCGCATCTCGGGTAGCAATATTTCTCCTACTTCTAAGTAGGTACTCCTTCTGATCAGATTCAGCACGTTAATTTGTATTTATTGGAAGTGGTTTTAACTCAACACATCAGCAAATGACTTTTTTTCTTCTTTTTTCCCCAGATTTCCAAATCGATGGAGATAACGAGGTCCATATTGAACTGTGGGGGGATTTCAGCCAGATGAACGGGACCCTTTTGAGCATCAAAGCTGATGGGGAGGAGCTCATGTTCTCTGTGGTAGCTGATAATAACACTAAGGTATCCCCATAAGTCAGATGTATGTGCCCTCAAAGCGGGATTATTAACTTAGCAATGATGTTTGTTTCATGCAAATAACACACACAGATTCTGTTTCCATTTGGTATTCAGAACTTCACATTCACCTCTAGAGAAGAGGTGTTCACCATGAAAAACACTTTCAAGAGGCTCCAAATTAAGTTTCTGAAGGATTCGCTGAGGGTGGTTAAACATGAGGAAGAATCATCGGCTGATTTTTCAGTCAGTGCAGGGAACAGCACCGGTTATTTATCAGCTTGGAGAGATGGTCATCTTGCCATTGGAGGCCTTTTGGGTGAGACTGCAGCTTTAAAGTATTTCAGTCTAATCCTGTGCAGCAACACAAAAAAAGGATCTGCTCTGTGTAACTCGTGAAGACGATTGTTTTCTTCATCTATTTTGTCTTTTCAGGTGAGAATGATGACGATGTCGGCTCCCAGTTCTTGACAGGCTGTCTGGAGAAGATCCAGGTCCAAGGGAAGGATTTGGATCTGGATTTGGCACGCGTCAAACACGTGTCCGTTTCCTCTCACAGCTGCCCCGCTTAAACCACGAAAGCATGCTTACACTTTATGGTATGCTGAGTAGACATGGTGTTTGCAGTGATGAGCACTAAAGTGTTTTAAGTCAGAATTTTATACTTGTACCAGTGAATCTCCAAAGTCTAAATAATTTAGTGCTAAATATTAATATTTTACGAGATGTCTCTTCCACTTTCCCACTTTTAACACAACATACAGATAAATCTGATAAATGTGAGCAGTTTTGTGACCCTGGTACGTGCAACAGCAAGCTTTTAAATAAAATATGACTTTCCCTAAAATGGTTTCTGATACACATTCATTTTTCTGGTATATTTTAAGGCAAAATAGAGGAGTAAGATGTGTAACAAATAAAACTGTAATGTTATTTTGTTATGAACACCTTTATTCTTCAGCACAGCCGGAACTCTCTTAGGCAGTTTTATTTTCGGGGGGCGGGGGTAATTTCTTTAAAGGGGCGATCGTGGCTTAGGAGTTGGGAGTTCGTCTTGTAATCGGAAGGTTGCCGGTTCGAGCCCCGGCTCGGACAGTCCCGGTCGTTGCGTCCTTGGGCAAGACACTTCACCCGTTGCCTACTGGTGGTGGTCAGAGGGCCCGGTGGTGCCAGTGTCCCTGTCAGTGCGCCCCAGGGTGGCTGTGGCTACAAGGTAGCTTGCCATCACCAGTGTGTGAATGTGTGGATGACTGAATGTGTAAAGCGCTTTGGGGTCCTTAGGGACTAGTAAACCGTACAAATACAGGCCATTTACCATTTAAGTAGTCTCCAGGAATAGTTGTCCAGGCTTTCTGAAGGACATTCAAGGCTGCCTTTTGTCCTGTTCTATGTTAACATGATGGTCACCCACATTGATCATTTATCCAATCCTCTACTCTCGGCTGATTATCTATCAGCTCAAATACAGTCATTTATAACCCGGTTAGACCTCTTAGATCTTTTGCCACGAGGCTACCATCACTGAGTGTAGTCGATTTCCTTTAAAGCCAAATTTGAATTCTAATTTTCTTCAATTCTTTCAACTTACGTTCAGCCAGTCTTTTCACGCATGCATCACAAGAACCCACTCGCTCTCGCCGAGTGACTGATCTTAGACATGAAAATTGCTCCCTCTAGTGGTTAATTAAACATAATGTTAAATTCATCAGAGACTTGTGTATGACGTCATCTATCCCATAAAATTAGATATACGGAAAAAGTCCAAATATTACTTATCGACTTTAAATTATGAAAGCAGAAAAGAAGAAAGATTAGAGCAAATATGAATAAAACGCTCAAGATCAGTTTCAGATAAAATGATGTCTGCTCGCTCGTTTCTGTATCCACTTATCGCTGCAAGAAGTCATCAAAATGTTATGTGCAGCTTTGAAATGAACTGGAAGATGTGAGAGGTCGGGAAACACAGACAGATAAATAGATTTATTTTTATTCAGAACATTATATACATTTGTTTCCCAGGACAGCATTAAACTAGCAATAAATACAATAAAAATATAATAACACCTATTAATATTTAACTAGAAAATCATATAATAATAAAAACACATACATAAAGCGATAAAATGAAAACTGATAACGAACGTGACTCTAACTATAGTTAAAGTAGAAAGTTTTTAACCCTCGAGCCAATAAAGTGAGAAATAATCAAAAACAAGTGTACGACGAGGCTACGTTGAATGTAAAAACGTTAGCTTCTGAACCAAAGCGTTTATATAGACTTTAAAATGACGCCACGCTTTCAGTCATTAAAGCCTGAGGTGCGGTTGCTAACGATTCCGCACATCTGCCGGCTGCCATAATGTTACTGTCGCAAAGCCTCGCTGTCGTGAATACTGGCCGCCCACTGAAGATGGCGGCGGAGCTGCATCCGCGGAGCGGAAAGCTGATCGGCCTGTCCAACTCGAACCGAACCGCCCGTCGCAACCAGCCAGTCCAGGAGTTCAATCACGGCCTGGTGCTTAGCAAGGAGCCACTGAGGGACCGGGATGTCTTCACCGTCCGCATTGACAAGAAGGTAAACAAACTGCAGGCCCGCTTCTAGCTCATCTGAGCGTGTGTGAGGGCAGCGGGACGGGAGTGGAGCTGGAGGGACGAGCCGGGGGTCTGTGGCTGTCCGCGGTCTAAAGCTATTGCTGCTGCTAAGGCGGCACACACAGGGCTTGACAGTAGCCGCAGTGTTTACGGCTCCTCAAGCTTTAATTAGATACACCGACAGAGACTGGGAAGGACCGCAGGGAGCTGATAAACAGCCCGCTGTGGGCTGGATGTGATAAACGAGTCTCTTAGCTAACGATAGCCCGCCCGTGTTGCCTTGGTGCCGTCAGATAGCCGTGCTAATGAGCCGCTAGCAGGCTGGCCGGGGCTAGCCTTTCTGGAAGGTGCTACGAGGGCTTTGTCTGGCGCTGACAGGGACCCGATATCGTTTTATCGCGTGAAAGGATCCCACCTAAGCCGGTAAGTGCGGTTCTTTTAGGGCTTGTTTTGAAGGATCGGTCGCCTGTCAGGCTGTCTGTCCGATGGCTAATAACACTGCAGTGTTCACGCCACACGGGGATATCATAGTGACTCAGAGGCCATGTGTGAACAGTACACAGTGACTACACCGAGGCTGTCACCACTGTCATTAATATTAACCAGAGCCTGTGTGCTGAAAGCCTCAGCTCTGCAGCCTCCGCTCACCTCTGTGCGTATGCAAAGCGTCTGCAGACCGCTAGAACTGCTGCTCCAAAAGTGGAGCACGTAGCTGACTACTTCATGCTGTTACTCATTAATTACATGCACTGTTTCGGCTGACTTCATAACCATTTAAACACAAAATCACGGATATCATGTGTCTAACTTTACTAGACCTGTTGCTGTTAACAGTTTTAATCATCAAGTTAAGTACAGGTGATCTCTTTCCTTTCCTGCCTCTCCTCAATCACAAGTGCAAAGACAGCTTACAGCTACAGTTCACATCCACTGATGAAGTTTAAACCAGTTTTTAATTGTGACTTTTTGCAGGTATAGGTGGCCCAATGTTCTCTTTCCTTGAATTAGCATTTGAATTGCATTAAGAGTGCCTGTGCACAGTGTTTACATTTCAGTTGTGGAAAACCTTCTCCGTTGTAATGGCTTCTGTCTCTGCAGTTGGCCTCCCAGCGACGCTTGCCAAAAACATGGCAGCATTGGAGTCAGTGCCAAAGCCAACTGCCCCCCCCACACACACGAAATGACAGTGTGTCCAGCTGTCTAAAAGCATAGCGTGTGTGCACGTAAAGCATCTGGCTTAATAGCACCTGCTGCATGCTAGATAATTATGCATCCCTGGTGGAGCTCTCAGCCTGATAAAGGCTCTCATAAAAAGGCTCCCGCCCTGTCTTTGCATGCATTGCCAGTCTGAAAATCAATAGTTTGTCATCACGGAGCACCCGCTGGTATGACTCTTGAGTGCTGACGTCCAGGGTGGGGGGACGTAAACACATGAGGGGGAATGAAGTGATTTATTGGAACAGGACTCGGCAGGTGTTTTAGCATTTAAGGAAGAAAGAACTGATATGATAGGATTCAGTGGAAGATCCAACTTGTGATATGGAATACTATGTCATGCATTTTGTATACTGGGACTTACTTAAAGCTAAAATGATTAGCTGTGTTTTATCTCGGGTGACAATATCAAGTTTTGAATTGTGCTGAATGGGATGAGCAGATCAATATAATTGGCACATTGATACTAATATCTACTTTGAAATGCCACTTTTCGTTTCTTGCTGTTACTGTTTAATTGCGAGCTAACGCTAAAGTCATAGGTTTTCAAGTCTAACGTGTTTTTAAAAGCACACAAATTCAGTAAATTGTGCCACTTTGTGTTCCTCAGTCATGCTGATCTGGCTGGAAAATTTTTATTCGCTCCCAAATAGGAGTTTGTTGTTGTGAGAATTCGCGCCCCAAAAGCTGAGCAGCTGCGTTTCCTCTCTCTAGCGGTGCTCCTCATAGGTGGTGCTTTTGAAATAGACAGGCTATGAACTTCTCTGTTTCCCTATAAAAGATGCTCTGTTGTCCCTCTTAGTGTGTATATTTGTAGCCTAGAATTATTAGTCTTTTCGAGTCGAGTCGAGTCGAGTGAATGACCGGGAGGCAGACGCCCACAGGCTGCTGTTACGTAAGAGAGAGCGCGAGGGAAGGAGATGTCTGTCTCCTCCACACACACAGACCCGGTCAGCCTGAGCTACTCCCAGATTTGTTAACCCAGATACCCTGGCTGCAGTAGCACACTGCCTTAGATAGCACCTGCCACGGAGCTGAGGAAGAGGTGGGCAGGAGGAGGCTTACTGTAGTGTAAAAAGAACAAAAAAAAAAAAAATGGTATTGATCCCGGGGAAAGTGTCTTTGGCACAGAAGTCAGCTGCAGAAAAACATCCCAGGAGCTGGAAGGGTTTCAGTGATATGGTCACGGTTATGTCTTACACTGACATAACCCCTAATGGGGGTGGGGGTGGGTTATGACTGAGCATAAAACTGAGGCTTTTATTCACCGCTAAGGTTTTTGTCAGGTACCTTTCTCCTTGAGCAGCAGGTGAAGTGCAGCCAGCCAGGAGTCGACTCCTCTTGAAGACGACGGGGGTTTGTGGCTCTGTGTCGGCAAGCATCTCCTGCACTCAAGTGTTTTTAATCAAGACTTAAACATCAACGCCAGCTGCTGTTTACATTTTCCTTTTTCTGCTGCAGTCTCTCGTCCACGTTGTGGAGGTTAAACAAAAACGAATAATAGAATTCATCTCGGCAGATCAATAAAGTATCTCGTTGTCGTCAGCTTATGGTGAGCTTCGTGTTACCGGGAAGAAACAGATGCCTCGGGCTGCCCGTTAGGCGATATGAGGCCAATGTCGTGCAAAGGCACGAGGAATTTTTGCTGTGAAACGGGGACCAACTGCGGCATGAGTTTAGG